AACACCACAGGGACAGTATTCTACAATTACACTAACGGACGAGTCTGGACCCAGTTTCACTAAACTGAACTGGGTCCTGTACATCAAGTACAAAGTACATGTACTCTCACCATCTATCATATAGCTCCTTAACGAGGTCAGGTTATCTGTATTTTCTGTTTGTTTTTTGGTCAAAGTACATTTTAGCAATTGTGTTTACGTAGGCTAATGTTACATGCATAGCTTCATTTCATCGATACAAATCTCGTTTGAAGAAAAAATAAAGGATACTAATTCAATTATGATACTCAATGGACAGGTACAATGCAGACATATTTAAAAGTACTAGGTATCTGACGGAAAAATGGCTATTTAATAGAAGTCGAGGTTCATGGAGATATATTTAGCAATAATTTCCTTACTAACTGATGGAATACTTAAGTTATTGGTATTAATATCCAATTTTATAAATAAATATGACTGCTGTTGGTTGCTTTATCGGAAACAACACATGGACGGCCATAGTTCATGTCTTCCAACCAGGAAACACACATCTATTACCGTATTGCACAGATCGACCTTATCTAGAGACAGTGGCAGGGAATTCCAGGTACATGTAACCGATTTCGTATTTCACATTTTGTTGTTAGTGTATGGGTATTTTTACGACTAGTGATAACAATTAAATGAAGGTCTGCCACTGTCTCTAGATAAGGTCGAACTGTGCAATACGGTCATCCACTATATCGGCTGTTTACAGACACGTGTAATACCTTGGCTATGTCGGTATAGTTTTTGATACAGTATTGCAAACGTACAAACATCGCGACGCTCGACTTCCGTTTTACCGGAGATGTCTCAGGAAATATATTCTGTTTACTTTCCCGTTTTGCTTCTCGTTTTTTGGTCAAATGTGTGTGAAAACAATAAGACTTGCCCCAACCATGTTGAATACATTTATGACAATCGGTTCATCCTGGTCGTGTCCTTGGAGTTTTGTTCATGCTTGTTGTGTTCCGCTGTACGTACGTGCAGGTCCGATTTGTCCTTCCATTCGACTCTCCTTCCAGGACACCTTACAATACCCCGCTATAGGGGTCATGTATCAATACCAGTTCTTGGATACAAAGAAAATCAAGGACTCCAGAGTGTTCAAATCAGACCGAGATCTCGCTTGTAAGTGTAGGATACGACCCATCTACGCTGTCCTGACTAAGTCTGCGATGGAATGTAGGTTAATGCTAGTTGTGCTAACGACAGAGCGTTTTTACTCGCATAGAATAGGTATAAATATGATATTCCCATCATATTACATGTTTAAAGGAGATACATTGTATTATCTTGTTAAAACATAGTGCTGGGCACCACCTATGTGGATATTTTATTATTGAAGTGCGATGATTGGGAGAATTGCTTTTTCACATGCTCAACTTATTCTTAATATTGTAGTTTTTTTTTAATAATTTAATATTAGAGTTGACTATCTCTGATATAATACATATTATTAATGTCTGTTGCCCCTGTTTCATGAACGTTCCTTAAACCGACTGTTTTTCTTAATACGGAGATTTCCATATCTAAGGAGCTCCTTAGATTAAGGAACGTTCATGAAACGATTTTTAGGAAATCTTAGCTAAAGAATTTCTTGGAGATTTTAAGTCAAGGAAACATTTAAGTTAAGGAAACAGTTTCTTCCCAGTCTTCACCTGTCGTCACCTCGGGTTGTTTATGGGTCTGTGAGTTTCAGCCACTGATGTTACCTTCCGGACTGCGTAATCGTGTCAAGGTCGTTCTCAAAGTTCACGTCTACTGTTAAAACTTGGAATTAGATGAAGATTTTTATTTGTGATACAGTTGGTCAAAACATCTATATATAGCATATATAAATACGTGGTTCATGAAACATGTATGTGACCATTTGTTTACAACTAGTTCAATGTATGTGTACGTACATGTCTATAAATAGCGTCCCTCTGTTAAAGGCTGGTGACTATATAGGACATGTTGGTGGCTACATTGGACATGTTTATCTAAGCTGGTAATTAAGTGTCCGGGAAACAGGTCCGACGTTATTTCCTTGGAGGTCCTGACTTTGACCGGGAATCGATGCGACACATAGCAGCATTGTCATTCACACAAACAGGGAAATAACAAACCTTATACGAAACTGGTTCTTTTCTAACGTACAACTACAAAACATATTCCAACGCCCCCTCTTAGAGCAAAGGACAAGATAACATTTTTACATATACACCTTTCTCTATCTGTCCCTATATAAGAACAATAAGATAATAAATGCTATTTTCCTCATTCGACGGATAGATGACGTGTCCCGACTTTGAGTACTGCCTTTAAGTCGGTATAATGCCACAGTCAAAATATGAGTTTTTAGAACATAGATTTTAGCAATGTCCGGCTTCTCCTTTATGAAAGATCTATTTCTGATTCAATGTAATTTCCAAATGACAACGACATGTGAGTGTTTACAAACACACTGATGGCGGAAGGTCAACATCGTCAAGTAATCTAAGTACGTTTAGTTTGCACCGCTGTTAAAAAAGACGGGGCACTCGGGAAATAATCACTTGTATAATTGTCCTCATAGCAACAGTAGGTAGGACTACAGTCATGTCTGATGTATTGATGTCCCTCAATTTACAAGTGATGTTTAAGCGTTCTTCCTTCTCGTCAAATTATTTTGTAAATTGTGATACTTCATGAATAAAGAAAAAGCTCCATGTGACTTATATATTTTAGTTTGTTAAAACTTGCTTTTCAAGTGACATGTTATTAATGTACAAGATGCATGAACAATAGTTCAAAAATAAATTAGGCTGTTTCAATGTTGTAAGTAACTAGACAAGTAAATTAATAATGGAACACAATAATATGTTATAACAATATCAACTTTAGCACATTTTCTTGCTCTATTACGATATCAGGTAATTATACTGGTACACGAATGACATGTCCAGTGCTCTCTAGCAACACAAGTACGTACACTCGACTCATTGTGTTCGTGATTTCCTTGTACGTATGATGATAACAAGGAAGAAATAACCGCACTAAAATCTCCATACGATCACGTGTAACGTTGAAATACACGAAAGATAGGATCCCTATGCATCTAATCTCCTTCCGTTTCTAATTTTGTTCCGAACAGTATTGTATCGTTTTGTCACGATCTCACATTGCCGTGACTGGTCGCATTCTTCGCTCACTAATGGCAGGATACGACATGACAATTTCTTACTTTATCATCCTATTATTTATTTCTATGGGGGCGGAGATATCTCCAAACCACCTTTTTATTTTCATTCGTTTATTCATATTTGCAAACTAAAATACCTACGAGGGAGATGTATAATTAGAACTTGTCACTAGACTAGATATTATGTTTTTCAATCCACTTGGCAGAAATAATTTACTTTGGTTGATTATTGAAAAAATAAATCATGTTATTTCAATAAACCAAGATATCATGTTTTGCTAGTCATTTGTTTCTGAAGCGGTCATCGAACTGGTCGGTCAAACTGATTTGTCACTGACCTGTCATAAAGTACATGTCTGTGGGTCACGCGGATAACCGCAAGATTGACGTCACGAGTGACGTAATCATTTTCTTATCTGCATTTTTCGAAATTGTTTTTTATCATACGAGTTAGAAAAAAAATGAAATAAAAGAAGTGTGCTACTTTGTCTTGGTCAGCATTTCAGTCACTTTCATAGAATTCAATTCAAAGAATTGTTAACAATTTCCTCAGTATCAAAATATTGATATTTGATTATATCGGTGTCTAACACGAACAGTCACATCGGGGCCAGGACAAATATATGTATATGGGACAAGGAAATAATTACTACAGCGTAGACAATAATACAAAGCTGTCAAAATTCAGTGCGATCCGCTCCTTTATCAATATATATAAATAGGAAAGCACGACACTCGAGAGGAATGACGTCACACATATGTTTTCTATGAGGTATAAAATATATCTTTTACCTTTTTGTATAGGCCTAGACTTTGATCAGCGCCCAGTAAAAATGACACCTTCTTGCGGTTTTACACAGTTTATGGGAGTTTCATGGTTTTTTTAGTGATTTTTTTGGAACTGTACGGTATCGATCAAAATATTTTATTTCAGTGTTAAGTAAAACTATATCTTACTTTTACAGTTTTCGTTTAAACGGTCAAACCGGTGGGACCACTATTGTTCGTTTATTAAATAAGGTCGGACCTAGTAATCTGATGCTGCTTTCAGGCGAGCCTTGACAAAGCCTTGCAAGGCCATGCCCCAGGTCCTGTTCCGACACTGGTAGTGGGTAAAGGGGCATAACTCCAACAGGCTTATGGTTTGAAGTGTATTCCAAACATGTACAGCTGGTTACGACAATGTTACACGTTGTTCAACATTAACAATGTTATGTAACATATTGTAATCGCTTTCACACTACTATACAAGCTACTTTCAACAGAAATTGCTTGCATCAATTATTCTTGAAGAGTCTTACTGTCTATACGTTGAAATTAGCTAATCACAATCAAAAATTTAATAATCTATAGTTTTTTTCAGAGGAGGAAGGGTTATGCTTTGTTCATCAAGTTCATTGTTTGTAACTTTGTCTATTTTGGGACTATTCCAATGGCAGTCCTTTTCATCCATTTTTTTCTTTTTTTTTCAGTTTTGTTATCATTATAATTACTCCACTGCCGACCATTTGTGACAAGCCATTTGGGGGGAAAACCTATTTACATGCAACTACAAACTACCGTCTTCCATAGATTAACCACGGAATTAGATTAGTCTGTGGATTAACGGAGTGATTAACGAATGCATGTTTCTTTATTAAACCAAGACACGTTATTGAAATATATACACGAATCCCCGAGGGTATGCACATCACTATACAAGAACTATCATATCTCGAAAAGAGTCCCACTCTCTTTGAGAATACGTTGTGCAGTCATCTCGCGTACCATAAGCCATCATTTTATACAGCAGCTTAGCCTTATCGATTGCGATCAAGGGAATAGCCCCTGTACCCTAAGAATGGCCCCATAATAAATAGTGATTTTCTGCCAATCAAAATTCACAAATTTCTTTATCTGCGGCGACGAACCAGGAAGGGAAATGTGTGTGTCGTCGACTGTGTCAACGGGAGATAGAAAACAGGAAGATGATACTGCAGCACTTGGTGGCTCATCCTGTCGCACTTATTAATGCCTCATCCTGTAGCCCGTTCGTGTTAAGAGGGAAATTATAAACTTACTATTAACGATGTTAGCAGGAAAGCCCGCCGAGGGCGATGATGTGTATTCCGAGCCGTACAGCCAACTGGCTCCTGTGCAGACTGAAACACAACCATTCTCAACAAGTGGCTCACTTGAGCAGCCCAAAAGGAACTCTCAAACTCGTAAAGCTTATCGTAAAGTAACAAAGAATCGGTCCTCTGAGAACGCTGACAACCAAAACTTTTATTCGGAGGCCAAATGTTTACCTGACGACATGGGGAACAGTTATAGCGAACCTGTTGGGATCTATAACCCGAGTTCGGGATCAGTGACTGCGGGGGAGTTTACACCTGTCATTTCGGGGTTACCCGACCGTGACGTTACTCACGAACGTGAAGTGGTCTCGTATGACTTGGCAGAGTCTTCAGAGCCAGTGCCATCAAGACAACAGGTAAATAATTGACCTATCACATTGTTATGCATGTGTGGGTTTTTTCTGTCTTCAATTTTACAGGATTCGTCTTTAAATCTTGAGATATTCTTCATGTGATGTAAGTTTAGATAATCTCCTGTCAACTCTACAACATCACGCCACCGTGTTTACCTTCGTGCACCTCTGTACACGATCCCTGATGTTTATGTTTACTGCTGTGCTACCATGATCTACCGGAATTTGATACATATACTAGGCTATTGGTGTTTGAAAGTATTCCACGTGTCGTAAATTCTTTTCGACCTTGTGATTACTACATTGTTTACATGATCACAAGCTATGTGTTATCCATACAAGTCTGTTGTTAACAGTTTGACAAGTGCCAGACCTGATCATGCAAATGTTTAGGTTTGTACCAAGGATTTAACCGTATAGTACTAAACTGAATGTTTGTAACCCGACCCCCCCACCCGACCCCCGCTATACTGTATGTTTGTAACGCCCCCCACCCCCATATCTTTTGGGAGAAGGCCTCGTACATTGAGCTAAATCCATCAATGCATGTAGCGTAACAATGGTATCTTACACAATAATACTGATGTTCAACCGTAGCTACCTGTAACTACCTGTATCTACAAGATGTACAATGTATATAAATTAGTATAAGATAAAACAGAAGACTTTGTATACTAAATATGTGTTAAAGGTATTTAGTCCTCAGCCGACCCTAGGAACTGGCATGTCAGCTTTAATCAAGGGGTTTGATGAGGTCAAACAAAATAAGAAAGTTTAAGGGTTGTAACGCAAGTATTTTTCACAGTGCCTGTCATGTCTGGTATCTTTTTACATGGCTGTACATGTGTATCATGCATTTAATTTGTCCTGTGGTTATGGATTTTATCGTGTTTGTTTCTGACAGCTGTAATTAGGTTGTGTTATGACACACAGTTACGTGGTGGCTATATACCTGCCGTTACATCTAACATTGCCCCAGGCCTAGTGTCAATGTGACTCAAGACATGTATATATGTTTTACATATATATCTATACTGTCACCGAGCCTAGTGTCAGTGTGACTCGGTACATGTATGTTTTATATACTGTCACCCAGCCTAGTGTCAGTGTGACTGGGTACATGTGTAACCATATAAACTGGTAAACAAGAAACCTGCATCGACCTTGACTTTTCATTCAACTTTACACATGTATGTTTTATATACTGTCACCCGGCCTAGTGTCAGTGTGACTTGGGACATGTATGTTTTATATACTGCCACCCGACCTAGTGTCAGTGTGACTCGGTACATGTATGTTTTATATACTGCCACCCGACCTTGTGTCAGTGTGACTGGGTACATGTATGTTTTATATACTGTCACCTGGCCTAGTGTCAGTGTGACTCGGGACATGTATGTTTTATATACTGTCACCTGGCCTAGTGTCAGTGTGACTCGGTACATGTATGTTTTATATACTGTCACCCGGCCTAGTGTCAGTGTGACTTGGGACATGTATGTTTTATATACTGTCACCCGGCCTAGTGTCAGTGTGACTCGGTACAATGTATGTTTTATATACTGTCACCCGGCCTAGTGTCAGTGTGACTCGGTACATGTATGTTTTATATATACTGTCACCCGACCTAGTGTCAGTGTGACTTAGTACATGTATGTTTTATATACTGTCACCTGATTATGATGTATACTGTTTACTGGTACATGGGGTATATATGAATTGTACTTTATATGAATTGGTGCCGAAATCAGGGATAAACATGTACATGAACTGTTCAATAATTATCTAGGCGACATACTTACAGAAGAAGAAACAAATCATTTGTGGATTCAAATTAAAACTGAATTGTACATGTAGATAAGAAATGCTTGGATTTGTTTCCATTTATTCACTTGATTTTTTAAGAACAAGCTTCAGAAGCTACAAGCATGCATGCACAAGCAATCAAACACATTAATTCTATATATAGCTGATCATTTTTTGATTTCAATTGTATTCCTTTTCAAAGGAATTTCATTTTCCTTTTAGTTGTGAAATAGTTTTTTTCCTTATCAGGCATTCTTTATTTCCTTCAAACACAACAAAGCCAATGTTGCAGAATTTAATAGGGGAAGCTTTTATCTTGATCTGGTAACCATGCAAGACCAGTCAATGAATGAGTTAATAGCGTGATGAAAAGACATTAATATTCTAGCAAGCTGTCAAAGTGGTCGCGTAATTGTTCTCAATTTAAATTGTTTTGCCAAGTAGAAATTGTTTATTTTTTTTTACCCTTGAAAATGTGACTGAAAGGAACCTGTTTCCTAGCAAATGTTGCACTTTTCTGTGTCAAGATAGAAAAATTGTCAGATGAAATAATTAAGACTGACATATATATATCAATAATTTATGTAAAGGTGGCATTGATTGGACTGCAACTAAATCAATTAAAATTTAAAATGACTAATTGATGTTTACATTTATTAAAGATGCTTAAATTATAGAATGAATACTTGTTACCATATTTGACCAATAGTGTGCACCAGTTCTTCCTATCCTTTACCTTGCTTAGCATTAATACCTACCTGTACCATATTTGACCAATAAAGTGTCCCTTCCTTACAAGTTCACCCTGCCCTTTATCATGCTTAGCATGAATACTTACCATATTTGACCAATAAAGTGCCCCTAACTTACAAGTTCACCCTGCCCTTTATCATGCTTAGCATGAATACTTACATACCATATTTGACCAATAAAGTGCCCCTAACTTACAAGTCCACCCTGCCCTTTATCACACTAAGCATGACTACTTACATATCATATTTGACCAATAAAGTGCCCCTAACTTACAAGTCCACCCTGCCCTTTATCACACTAAGCATGAATACTTACATACCATATTTGACCAATAAAGTGCCCATCCCCTTACCAGTTCTCCCTATCCTTTATCTTGCTTATCATGAATTCCCACCTTCACCATATTTGACCAATAAAGTGCCCCTTCCCTACAAGTTCCTACTACCATTTATCTTGCTAATAGCATGAATGCATACCATATATTTGACCAATAAAGTGCTTGTTCCAATTACAAGTTCCCCACTTCCCTTTATCACACTAAGCATGAATACTTACCATATTTGACAAGTAAATTGTCCCATTTGTTACAAGTTTCCCCTACCCTTTATTTGAGAAGAACATCATTATCCTATCCCTTTATAAAGAGTCTATTCGTTGTGGCTATTTCTGGAGACATTTCACAGAATCCAGAGTCACTCATTTTTTCCAAAATGCTTGAGGCTCAGGGCACGAATTACGTAGTCATTCAATCATATTTCTGTTTCCTGGTATTATTTTTGGAATGGCATTATGAACATTTACACTTAACAATATACGGAGAGTTAATTTCTGATATCCCCTGTGGTTAATTATAACCCTGCTTTACTATATAGCACTAATAGTCTGTGCATGTGTCATGGGATTGGAAACCTCATATCTGATGTAATTAAACAACCAACATAATGAACACTCGTAACAGATAACTGATATCCCTTCACACCTCGACACAGTGATCTCCCTGAGCTGTCGATAATAATTAGCCAATACTGCACTTCCATACACGGTGGACCATTTTGTTTTTATGACAGCACAGAAGAGAAAAAAAATGTTGTCATGGTAAAAATACTATACATTATTGAAAACTCATTGCATTTTCAGTGCAACTCTTTGTATTTAAAGATCTAGACAATGCTGACACAAGGAGGCAATACAGATTACAGGGATACTTGTAGGGTTTTTCAGGCGAGTCCTGAATGTTGATTTCGAAATATTGACAAGTCCTATTAGATTAGATCTGTAAGAGATACATTTAGTGGCAGATCTCATAATGTGAGTAAATCTGACAGGAAATGCACAAGTCCAGTTAGTACTGTGTCCAATAATCACTAGGTTAGACTGAAACTAGTTTATATGCAAATCTTTTAGCATGGACTTCCACCCATTTAAAGTATTATGTGCCTATGTTTACAACATGAAGGAAGTTCTTAACTTTCCATAAATACTACCATATGACTTTTACACTGTTGTAAAGAAACCTGAAGTATACCTTAGGCCTACATCTAATGACATTGAACTCAAGCTCACTCAATTTCTTATTGAAATCTTGTCTGGGCTATACATTTTAAACAATGAAGATATTTTGATGAAACTTTTAACATGTAAATGTAAAACAATTTGTTTTCATTAAACATTGAATGCAAGTCATTTATCTTATAAAGCAGATACAAAAGTCGAAACAATATTGTTACCATACTTTCCCCGATACATTTCCATAATTTTGGACCTTAGCAGTTTCACAGAGTTTAGCCTGTACATGTATGTGCTATAAATAGATGAACACAGAAACTGGTCATGTTATGGCATTGTGTATAATGATGACAAAAGGATTGGATTACTGTAAGTTGTCACGATGAAGGAAGTAATTAGAATGTCTTGATCAATTTATTCGGCTGTTTCACCTTAATGCCACCAGGGATCACTCAATGCTATATACATATGTATAGAATCAGTCTGAATACTCTATACACGCACATAATATATATATATATAGGTGTATTGGTAATTACTAGTAATCAATATTAATTTGGAAAATCATTTACTGAAGCACAAAATCATATTTTCAATGAGCTAAGACCTGACCTTCAGTCTGGCATTGGATAGAACACTCCTGTATATATATACAAATGTAACTGACCATGTATGTTATGTTAATATTTAGCCAGAAAACAAAAATATAGAAGCTTTGGAGCTAGATCATATTCATGTACATGTACAGGTCACTTTGGTTATGTTTTCTTAGACTGTAAGGGTGTGTCCCCGATCCAAACGTCCTGATCATGACTCATCCCCTTCCACCCATAAAAATAACGCTTAGCCTCTTAGAATCACCCCTTTTTATCAGTGTATGTAGTATGTACAGTATACCAGCTAAAGATCCAATACAATTGAGTACTAGAAGGCTGGAG